TCGAATTCGACGCCAAATCGCATCTTCAATGCCTCGGCGAAATTCGGCCATGTCAATGGGCCATTCGATCCCTGTTCTAGACTTTGGAACCAACGAAAAGAGTTATCATCAAGAGCGATACTCGCAACCGCAACCTTGTCCCCTTCTTGCGTTCCATCCAATGCGAAAAAACATTCACATTTTGCAATCCAAGATTCCACATGAATTTTGGAAAACCCAAACGCGTTAATCAAGGTGCTCCGTCACCGGCGCCACCATGGTGACGCGCCGCTGCTAACTCCGACAACTGCAATCCAATTCCACGCATGGCTTCTTGCACATTGGTGAATTGAAGTTCGAATCGATTCTCCAATTGGTATCATGCCTGGTGATACTTGTTCCTCTGCCTCACGAATGGCGGTCTGCATCCGCGTCGTTTCTGCCATGAATGGTGTTCCCGTGGTCGAAAGGCTCTAGATACCAATGATAGGGAAGAGAGGGAGATTATATATATATATATAGAGAGAGTAGAGAGTAGAGATAGGAAGGAGGTATTTCATTTATTCAACAAAAGCATACATTGAATGGTTAGTTTCCAACTATATATAACTGTATAAGCAGTTATAACAACCCAATATCAACTATTACAGCTGGCTATAACTAATATATGCATCAATTTTCATATTTCCAGATTTTACTAAACCAGCTCACGATCAATACATTTATCGCCACGCCAATGGGTAATACTGTTCTATAATATATTTTGAATGCATTATTCCTCAAACTTCAAATTGAAATGTGTTTCGGTGTTTTTATTTGTTTATATTTTTTGTATCATTGTTTTTGTGATCTTGAAGGTTGTGTGTAATTGGCTTGGCTCCTTCTCATATTGCTTTTAAGGATGAAGGTGGAATCATATTCATAGATTACAATGTTGGAAAGTCGGATCGTAGCGGGGTTAAGGTCACCGGAAAACGGAAGAAGGTGCTTTTTCTCAATTTTACCGGACAGGATACATACACACTTTTGTTTTCAGAGATGTCGGTGCTTTGCATGCATATAAGCATACAACAAAAGGAAAACAAAACTAGATTGAGTTGCAAAATTTATCTTACTGTATAGAACTATGGAAAAAACTTAGATACACGCGAACATAACACTTGGTTTTACAAACAACCAATCACATTTTTTTTTATAAATAAAAAAAAAAAAAAATTCTATCTCCATAATCACAACCACCCCATGATACCAATTTAAAAAGAAATTAAATTTTAAATAAATAAAATACTTTCTCTATTCTTATTGATTGTTTGTAACAATAAAATTTATATTCGTATGTATGCAAGTTTTTCTCTAGAACTATAGGCTTTTTTTTTCACGAAAATGCACGGCTTATATTTATGGCTCGTAATATCTTTTTGTTTATGATTTACTGATGTATTATTGAGACATGTGTCGAATTTGAAATAGTATTGTTTGATGAATTGTTGTGCATTTCAAAACATTTTATGAACTGAAATCAATTTTGCTCGTGCTATGCATTTATTAAAATAGGGATTTTTTTTTATGCAGAATGCACAACAGTTTGAGGCCAATACAGCATTGTGTAAAGTTTCTACCAAGAAGGATTCTTATATTGTGAGGTATGGGCTTTGTTGTAGATTAATTTGTGCCAAGATTTATTTACGTGTGTTTGTATATTTATATGCTTCACTAGTTCTTTTTGCTGGGTGACCTCTGAACTCTTTGATTGCTTAATTTGTGATGATCACTCATAGGTGTTGTGTCAAAGGTTCCCTTTTGGAAGTGAATCAACAATTAGTCACACACCCAGAACTGCTTAATGTTTCGGTAAGAATGGTTTTCTTATCCGGTCTGATTTTTTATTCCATGCGCTTGGATAACATAGATAACTCCCTCAAACAGGAGCCATAGTTTTTTATGTCTGTCCTATCTATCTTAAATTTTACAAAGCCACCAGTAAAGTCTATGCCAGTATTATTATTGTTATCTTTTCTAATTTAACCGTCCAATGGACATGTAGTTATTACTTAACCAGGGCTTTTTTGGGTTCATAATCATAAGTTTCTGGATGACCTATTAGTGGGTCTGTTTATCAATAATACTAAATATATGTTCCCAAGTGTCTTTCCCATTCTGATCAATCTCGTGTTAGTGAAATCAGGAATGCAGACACAGTTCATAGAGGAGAGAGGGGTGGTAGATGAAAATAAATAAATCATATTTATGGTTCACAGGATGGTGAAAAAAATGCATTGAAGGCAATAAATTTGTTTTTTAATGATAGTATTCCTCTACCCTCCATGGATGTGCACAAGGTTAATGACAACTTCAATCTATTCAGGCATCTAAGAGGGAAAGGAGCCTCTATATCCTTCCCTTGTGGAGGCTTCTTTGTGGAATATATATATTTTTGAAAATGTTCTTTCTCACACATCTGAAATTGTTGGATATACAAACATTATCAAAATATTTTTATTCTTCATATTTCGGTGCATGCAATATTGTTAGGAACCTTTCTTTTGGTATAAAGATAGAATTCCCAAAACTGGGAAAAATTAGATAAAACGAGGAATAATTCAATTGAAAGATTGGAAAAGGATAAAAGAGAACAGGTGAGAATCTCTCCTCCAAGGGTTTCCCCTTCACAATAGAGTCACTACGATCTATTTACTAAACTTTACGAATGTTCAATCATTGTATTATCCTATAATTTATACAAATAGCCTTGCAACAACCTCAACTAACTAATTACTGACAATTCTTAACTACCCCAGTTAGTCATTATTCTATATCCTGACAATACACCTCTCCTCAAATACAACCTTGTCCCCAAGGTTTTAAATCTACTATAGTCTTGTTCCATTGGGTGCAGAAAATAAAAATAATAAGTTCTCCTCCTGGATCCCACTGCTGGGAGCATGAGGAGCCAAATTTTGTTTCTGCCATCTTCAGAAACTGTAAGCCTTTGCTGGTGCATCTCCATCTTCGATTACAACAGCATCAATCTCCGTAACTGACTAACTGGTTCATCTCTGGTGCACTGATTTTTGGTTCTTGTTTTTCCTACCTTGTTTCCACGAGTGGTCAATCCCGGATAGCGGTGTGGAGCAGCCGACCCTAAAAATGGTATAGCAGGAAAGCATATAGTGGGATGGTCGCAATTTAATCATTTTTTGGACAAATTACATGAATTATAATTTTAAACCTATGAAGTTCGGAGGGGAGAACGAAGAGAAGAAGTGCAGAGAGAAGTGAGGGAGGAACTTGTGATTTTTCTTTGGAACGACTGAAGTGCAGAAATGCCAGTTAAGGAAGGTTAGGGTTGAGTCTCAACTCAAATTTTATTGAAAAACCCATAATTATCCTTGAAACGTATTAAATTTAAGGGGTAATTTTGGTTTTTCAGAGGGGAAAAGGATAGCGGTTCAGAAATTGCTCCGCTCCTGCTACCCGCTATTTATCCTATGGCGGCCGCTATAGTGTTCGGCACTGCTAAGGCTCTTCCCGTAGCGGCCGGCCTCTGCTCCACTATAGCGGGATAGTGCCGCTATTGACTACCCTGGTTTCCACTAACCAGTTTGATTTGATCTTTATTTTTTACCCTATCCATTGTACTAGTCCCGTCACCTAACTTTCTTTCCCAAGAACAAGATTCTTGGGCAAATCTGGGCAGAGTTGAATAAAACAAAGAATAATTCAATTGAAAGATTTAAAAAGGATGGAGGAGAATAGGAAATAATCTCTCCTCCAAGGATTTCCCTTTCGCAATAGAGCCATTGTGCTCTGTTCACTATACTTTACAAATGTTCAATAATGATCTCTATCATTGTAATTCTCCTATTTATACAAATAGCCTTGTAACAACCTCGCGTGATTAACTACTAACAACTCTTAATAGGGGTCTGACTGCAATTGTTAACAATAATTATGGTGTATGAGTGAAATATTAATGTATTAATGGAGAGCAGTGAGATATGGCCAATCACAGTACACATACTTAACAGCTTAAGTGGTCCAGTTCATGACCTGGTATATGGTTAGTTTATAAGTAAATTTACCTCTGCTATGCTAACTACTAGAATGTTTCCTTGAGATAGTTTGAACATATGCTATTTTGTTGTAACTTGTTTTCATCATAATACCGAGTATGTTTATTCGCTTAAGTTTAATCCATTTTATTTTTTTCTTACAATTTTTATTAATAAACATTCAGGCTAACAGAGAAGGATACATTGCCATTATGATGCCAAGACCAGCGGATTGGCTTAAGGTCAAGGCTTCCCTTGTTAGCCTCGAGGAGTACAAGAAAATGAGGGAAGTCAGTTCTGATATAAAGCATGTGGTGCCTTGTAATGACACTTTAAAAGAGACACTGTAAGAAGCTCAATGCTACATTGAAACGGTTGCATGATTTCCCGGGTGACGCATCGTTCACTAGTGCCTAATGGGGCCCCAAATGTTACAAACAGATTGAATTTGAGAAATTCATTGGTGCAATTGTTAGCCCCATGGAATTGGTGCCTGTCAAACTCATGAGCAACAACCAAGAATCTGGTGACATTGGAGTATCTGGGAAACCATTATTTAGAAGTTTATCTTTTTGTTGTTTTGTTGTTGTACTTTATAGATGCAGGTCTTTTTGTCATTTTCTCAGCCTTTTATAACCAATTCTCTATAATTAGTAGATTCTTGTTTCCTATGAGATTTTAACTTAACAATCTCAACTTCTAATCAAAGAGTATTACCAATATAATGGAGTATACAAAATTTATCGAGAGTTAAAATTTACCATTGCATTTTGATAACAATGAAGTATGTTTAATGTAAGTTATTGCTATATATTTCATTGTAAATAAAAGAATTCAACAGTCTGTCAGAAGTTAAAGTCAAAGAATTACATAGACTATAATAAGATTGAAAGAATGTGCTAGTAATGTTCCACTATAACTTGTCCTCAAAGATGAAAGAAAAGAGTAATCTTCATTGATCTATGAACATCACTTTTCAGTAATCTTCTGCATAAGTAGTCTTCTAGATCTATTAATAGTGAGAAAGCACAAATAGATATGCTCTTCAAGCTCTTCCAACTGATCCATAAAGTTAGTTCGGCAATCATGAAATTCCCTCACAACCATCTTCAATATTTCATACCTTCCATTACCATTACTATAACTCTTCACACAAATATCAGCAACCTCTCTCCAATGTTCCACTTCATCCTCTAATCTCTTAACCATTCTATTCATAGTATCCAAATCATTTATCATTATATAAATCCCTTTTGCAGCTACATCAATTTGTTCATATAGTTTTTCACTAGAACCATACTTTCCATAAACCCCTTTGAATCTCTTCTTCTTCATCAAACCAAAGAATCCACCCATTACATAAGGTGCAGCTGCCAACCCAATTATACTATGAAAAGCGAATAATAATAAAGCCATTAAAAGAGCGGTTTGCGAAACGATTAAACCGATTCCTCCAACTTTCTTGCATAACCTCTTTATTGTTATTCTTCTTCTAAGTTTCAATCTCTTCGAGTTTAGTCTATCCAGAAGCAACACTTGTTTTTCATGATTGTCGCGAAAGTTAATAGCATTATTAGACAAACACAAAGAGTTGTTAATAACAAATGAAACAAGCTCTTTATAGATAACATTCTCATCATCACCTTTCTTCACGAACGCATCAGCACATTTTCCATAAGCAAATCGAGTTTGACGTATACCTTGAAGGATTTTGTCGAAGCAAAGACATGCTTCTAAGCTAGCTTCAAAATAGTCGACTAGAAGATGATGCACCTTAAAACACTTAATCACATTTCTAACAATTTCTTGTCGAGGCTCGAGCAAAGAAGAAGAAGTGGAACATGATGTAGAGAGTGGCGATCTCGTGCTCGAGCTCGTGCTTTCAATTCCACATTCTTGAGCTTTGTTACATATTTCAACATAAGATTTTGTTCTAAATGCACTGAGGTATTCCCTATTCACGCTTGACTTGCTGCTCAAGTTATCTTCCACACCGCATCCTTTCGACGATCCACCACCTGCACCTGCAGGAGTTCAATTCAACATGAAGAAGAAGAATAAAGCAAAAAAAAAAAAAAACTAATATTAACGAATCTGTTGAACCAACAACTTACTGCCCAAGTTATTGATTCAACAGAATCGTCACAGAAATTAAATAAACTCACCCGTTCTTCTTCGGAAAAAAGAAAAACACTTTGTCATACTGTAAATAAATTATATAAAAGAAAGTAAATGTTGAGAAATTTTGGTTGGAGAGAAATATAAGTGCATAAGATGATGGAAGAAGAGAAGAAATTGTTTGCAGAAGAGAAAGAAAATAAGTATAAGCATTGTTCTGTTTATAATAGCTTTCAATACAAGTTAACTTACCTCACACGTTGCGTTTTCTTACGTGGAAGCTGGGAATTTATCTATTTCCATTTACGAAACTAACTGTTTTTTTATATTTAAAACTAAAATTAAATGAAGTAATAATAGAGAAAAATTAAAAATCTAGCTAGCTAGGAAGACCACATAATTTTGCGTTCTCATAAAGTAAAACAGTTTCCGTTATCAGCAAGATTAATTATTAACCGGACAGTTGTCACATCTTGGCTATCATAATCATCATCATTACTCTATCTATTTTATAATAATTATCTCATTTAAAATCCGTACAGTTCTTAAAAAATAATTATATATATATTGATTTTAATGATAAAATTAGTATTATTTATTAAAATATCTTTATTTATTATAGATAGTTAAAAAACATGAAAACTAAAAAATAGGAATATAATAGTAAAAAAATAAATAATGTTGTATTGGTATTTAAAAGAAACATTTATTTTGAAACATAGAAAATATGCAAATGAGATGCTTATTATAAGACAGAGTGAATAGAGGTGATGGCGATTCAAATTGTTAGAATCAATTTATTCTTTTAAATCCGTGTAAAAATAAGAAAATGAATCTGAACCATTATAATTTAAAATAAATGAATGAGATTAAAACATCACTCGAGTGAACTATATACCATATCTATTCTCATTAAACTTTCTCTCCACGGTCAAATTTATTACAGAGACGTTGATTATCATTCTCATTTAATGATCCAAATTCTTATATATATATATATATATATATATATATATATATATATATATATATATATATATATATATATATATATATATATATATATATATATATATATATATATATATGAAAAATTTAACTTCTAGAAATACCAATTTTATCCGATTAATCAAATAGGCCCCCACGTGGATGCATTATTTACATTCCATTTTTTTTCCTAAGGGCATCTTTAATGAGGTGAATAATAAAAACATAAAATGAATAATCAAAAGAATTTTAGTTGGTCTATTATTTTTTTACTTTAATAGTAGTTGTTTATAAATAATTCAAATTGAACCTCACATATTTAATATTCAATAGTTGATATAATTTAGTTGATTATTTTAATATCATTCAATGTGTAAATAGTGTTAGTTTGGTGCCACATAGATGTATTTCAATGCTGGTAAACTATAAATACAGTCAACTATAACAAATCAAAGTTTTAGTTCATCTGCATTAAAGATGCCTTAAAGCTTATACATTCAATTTTTTTTAACAATAACCATGTTTAAAAAATAATACAAAGTCTCGATGAATTTGATGTCCATCTCTACATATTGGAAAGAGTTCAAGTGGCTAACCATATACTCCTCTTCACTATAGACAATAACGATTTTTTCGTTCACGGGATATTTTAACTTCTGATGTAGGGTAGAGGTAATAGCGCCAAGCCCATGAATCTAGGGGCGTCCCAGTAAGCAAGAATAAGCTGACCGAATGTCCATTACATAGAAGGTAGATTCAAAGACCTGCGAATCTACCTTGATCGAAATATCCACTTCCCCGCATACCATCCTTTTTGACCCGTTAAAGGCTTGAACTATAATATCACTGGGTTTCGGTACAACCCCTTCGCAATCAAGTATGTCCAGAGTGCCTTTTGGTAGAATATTTAATGAGGAACCAGTATCAATCAATACATGAGCCAGAGTAGTGCCCCTACATTCAATAGAGACATACAAGGCCTTATTGTGATTTCTTCCTTCCGGAGTCAGATCAGCATCAGAGAAATCTAGCCCATTGTTAGTCATCAAGATAACAACATAACTCCCAAATTGATCGACGGAAACCTCTTGTGGCACGTGGGCAGTGTTTAAAAATTTCACTAAAGCCTGTGCATGAGCTTCAGAACATAGTAATAGGGATAACATAGAGATCTTAGATGGGGTTTGCCCTAGCGGTTCAACAATTTTGTAGTCACTCTTGCGGATAATCTTCAATACCTCTTCCAACTCTTGTCTAGAGGTGTCTTCAACTGTAACTTCTTTAGGCGCATCCGTTTGGGCAGACTCCATTATTTTCTCTTTGCCCCGAGTCTCAGTAGTTGACCCGATAGCGGTAACTCTAACAGGTGTAGAAACAGTCTTCGGAGAGATTTCCGGAGAGAAAATCCTTCTGCTTCTAGTAACTTTGTTGTTCCCCGCAATATTATCAATATCAAGATCAGCAACTCCAGTAACTTCAGTAACTTCATCTTCAACAGTCGGTAGCTCTTGCTTGATGCCATGGTAGTAGACGTCAGATCTATAGTTACACGAAATAGCTTTATCCAAAAAATGTAGGATAGGTCCAGGTGTAGTGATGATTAGAGTAGCTTTTGGATTGACAGTAATTCTTATATGACCCTTGGAGGTAATCATGACAGGAGTGCCAGATATTACATATAAATCTTGACACAGATTCTCAGCAGAAGGAACCTTCTCGATCAGAATTATATGATTATCCATTAGGCATTGAACACATTCCTTCAGTAACTTGCAGCCATTGGGTTGGGCTACACAGTAGTAACATTTTTCAATACAGTCTGGAAATAAACCAGCCTGCAATAGATTCTTCTTGATAAGTAGTAGGGGAGTAACCAATTCACTTACAGTAGCAACATAAAGAACATCGTCAATAGCACTTATGTCTTTGTCATTCTTTGACATAGATGCAATAATCACATTCGAGGTCTCTGGAGGAACTCAATCTCTTTGTTATTAATCATGTCATGAATCTTGTTCTTCAGGGCCTAACAGTTGTTGGTATCGTGCCCAGGACTATTGGAATGGTAGGCACACTTCACATTCAGATTATAACGAGGAGAGGAGGTGTTGGGATTCTGAGGAGGATCCCTCAATGTTATTAGCTCTGCTTTCAGTAAATGTTGTAATGCCTGAGATAATGACATACTGATCTTTGTAAATTGTCTTCTCGGAGCATCCGACCTATGCTGATTGCTCTGTTGTTGTTGAACAGACGCATGATTAGAAATTAATACTGCTCCCACAAACTGATTGTGGTCATTTTTAACACGACTCTTTTGGCCATAAAAAACATTGGCCTCCTTCCTACACTCAATGTCTTCTTCACAGCACTTGAAGATGCAGCCACTGGAATTTTTCCGCTCTTGATACCACTTTTGACTTGTTCCCTAGTTAGAATCATCTCAGTGAAACCAGATGAAGAGCTTCCAATCAGATGGTTAAAGAATGAACCCGTCAGAGTGCCCACGAACATATCTACCAACTCTCTATTAAACAGTGGAGGTTGAACTCACCCATCCAAATCTCTCCACTTTTGGGCATACTCCTTGAACCCTTCATTCGAACCTATAGTCATGTTTTGTAACTGCACACGAGTTGGTGCAAGGTCAACATTGTATTGATACTGCTTGTAAAAAGCAGAAGCCAAGTCTTCCCAAGTACACATGTTGGTTCCCTCCAGCTGATAGAACCATTCGAGTTATGTATCAGACAAACTTTCTTGAAAGAAGTGAACCATAACTTTCTGTCAGCAGTGGGGTTGAAGAACTTCACGTTGTTGAACGTCCTTCTATGAGCATCAAGCTCACCATGTCAAGTGGGTCCTAGCCTTTAACCCAAGATAACATACTACGACATTGGTTAGAGGAAAATAAATCCCCTTGCCCCTTGCTAGACGTCTGGTTCATGATAACCTGCATCACAGGCCCTTGAGATCATTGAAATGGTCAGTGAAAATGATATGGAATGATGTCATGATGTTACGATGTCATGTTCGAACAAATAATCAAACACAAGCAAAGCACACAAGGCCTTAGGTTCAGGCATGCACGGAGTTTACAGGTAAGTACCCTCTTTAAGTTTAGTTGGCTCAACCTGTCCTAATAAAAGTAACCGAGTTCTAGGAGTCTCATTATCACCGATCTTTCTCCCAGGCATTGTTTCAGCATAACATCGGATTTGCGACCGAAATATCCCGAGAGTATGATCTCAATTAGTGTAGTATCGAGTATCAACCAACTTCAGTCTTCCCCAAATCCGGCCATCTCACTACATTCTAATGGCTAAGTTGAGTCAACTAAGGTTCTACAGTCAGTTAGTGCTTATGACACCACGTGGCAGCCTAGTATTATCCATGACTGACTCGAGAGACACCAGTACCAGCTAATGTGTCGCACTAACGTAGCCATCGCTTCAACCATATCGGTCTACACTGTATAATTTCCACGATCTATAGCTAATTACGTAAAATGTCCCCAGATTCGGGTATAGGATCTTTGCAAGAAAATAAACCCAAACAACCCTTTAAAAATAAAGTAGACAAATAAAAAAGGATAGCATTTAAAATTGATCTAACTCTAAGGTAACCCCACTTTTTTAGTTCTCTCCAGCAGAGTTGCCAGTTTTGTAACGCGGTGGGAGAACTGACTTGGTTTTGCGTTTTATCGTAAATTTTGTGGATAGCAAGAGTCGCCACCAACTTTTCTTTTATCCAATAAGGAAAGGGTGAAAAGAACAGGAAAGACCTTAGGGATTTTTTGAGTTCGGGGGGTAGGTTATGAAAAGGGAAGGTGTTAGCACCCTCTTCATCCGTAGTTATCTACGGGCTCTTAATCTCTAGCTCACTTTGTTTAAAAAAAATGCTTTGTGTTCGTGTTTGAAAATATTTTGAAAATGCCTAAGTACGACAACTTTGTAATGATTATTGTATCAGTTAAGAATGCGTACAAAGTGTTTGTTTTTGAAAATATTTCAGAAGAAACGTTTGTGAAAAAGATGTTTTAAAATGTTTTTCTGTGAGCAAGCGATTACGAGAGATCTACCTACTAAAAAGTATTT